TACCTACTCCAGGACTTCTGTGAGGATCAAATGAGATGAGGCATGGGAAAACGCTTCAAACATTTGGTTAAAGTATAAAATGTTTGCACCTGGCTATAAAGCAAGTTGTGTTCCTGGCCTGAAGAAACTCCAAGGCAGTGGTTCTCAACCTTCCTGATGCCGCGACCCTTTAATACAGTTTCTCATGTTGTGGTGACCCCCCCAACCATAAAATTATTTTTGTTGCTACTTCATAACTGTAATTTTGCTACTGTTATGAATCGTCATGTAAATATCTGATATGCAGGATGTATTTTCATTGTTACAAAGTGAACATAATTAAAGCATAGTGATTAATCACAAAAACAAGATGTAATTATATGTGTTTTCCGATGGTCTTAGGCGACCCCTGTGAAAGGGTCGTTCGACCCCCAAAGGGGTCTCGACCCACAGGTTGAGAACCGCTGCTCCAAGGAGTCACTAGGGATAGGAAACCAAGTGTTGCTATGTGATGTCATTACCCAGCGCACACAGCGACCATTTCCGGGCCAGGCAGTGGGCAGCATTTTGCATCATGCGGTCTTGGCAGCATCGGCTGCGTTTTGGTGGGCTGTGGCTCCAGGGTGGTGATGGGGCCTGTGTCCCACTTGGGGGAAGCTGAGTGTTGTTTTTTGGCACCAGGTCTGCAGTGCTGTTTATTTTAAAATGGCCAGTGAGTGTTATGGCAGCTCCTGCGTTGAGCGTCTGCCCCTGTTGGTCAGTGTGCGTCATAGCTACTGGTCGGACAGACACTTAGGCTTTTATATATAGACAAGTAAGTATATATATACCAATGAACATACATTTTTCTTGTAACAAAGTAGCCAATAGCAAGAGTTTTTCCTTTTTACATACAATAATAAGCTCCAAGGCTGCTTATGAATGCTGTTGATATCCAGGAAAGGTTAACAAGTAACATGACTATAGAAAGTAAAACATACCTGTTGTAGGCTAAGGTGCTATTTTTAGGTTCATCACTTTTCCAAACCTCTCCAACTTTAGATAACACGTTATGAATGAAAGTAGATCTTGTTAACACAGTCCCTATTACAGCTCGCTTTGGAACTGCTGATAATGGTTTGGGCCGAGAAACTGTAAAATGAAAAATTTAGAATTCAATTTAATCTCTAACACCAGGACTTTAATAGAAGACTAATATAAAAGAGCGACTGGAAAACAGATCATAAGAGTTTGGTTAAAATTGCATTTGGTTTAATAACATCTATGTAGAAATTTATTTATTTGGGCTTTTAGAAGATGGTGAAAGTTACATGTTTTCTAAAAGTTGGACAAGAGCCTTCAAATGAAATAAAAAAGTTCTTTCATTCTTTAGTACATTACTAAGTAAATTATAAAAATGTCCAAGAAAGCTTTAAACTGATGATTGAAAGCAAAAGCAAGCTACAATATAAGACAGGGATGGTTGCAGAAGGCAATCACTCAGTATCTTCTCTAACTCAATGCTTTGTGACGTTTTTCAATGAAATCTTACCTTTTCGAATAACTGATAATGTTGGCACACGGTATATCTTCTCTAACTCAATGCTTTGTGACGTTTTTCAACTTACCTTTTCGAATAACTGATAATGTTGGCACACGGTAAGGCTTAGCTCGTTCCATGGCTAATTTTCGATGGACTCTCGGAAGAACTTTTCCATACTGATCTAATATAGAATTTCTTGCCACAGATCTCTCCCGCAAGTGAGGATCACGATCATTCTATTGAACATATCATAACTAGTAAAAATTAATCTTCAAACATGTTAGGTGCTATGTTTATACATTTATCTTTTAAAATATAACAATGAATATCCAAGAATATCTTCCTCCTGCCTTCTTCCAAACCAAGGGACCTCATATACCCACCTAATTACTTTACCAATCCTTACCCATCAAAAGTCTCTCCTATCCAGTCTTGATTTCTTCACAACTAAAGGACACCAGTTGTCATTTACTAAGTTTCTACCTGTATCAGTAACATGTACTTGTTACTTCACACACACCTTTGTACACCCTCACAGAGACATTATCATGTTACACATGAGGAACCCAAGGCACAGAGAATATGTTCCAAGCACACAGAGCAAATTCAGACTTGGTCTGACTCCTGAAGTCCAGGCTCTGCGTACTATATAATTTCTATTACTGGCCTCTACCTCATCCTCTCCTTTTCCCTAAGTGAAATGATTAGTCTGGCAAGATCACAGACAGATATTTAAAAGAAATGGAGTATAAAAGAGAATTAGGTAAATAATAATACCCTGTTCCTAATTCTGCTATAGAAAGTAAGAAGAGGATTCTCCAAACTCAAATTCATATAAAGCTCAGTGGTTGGTTACCAAACTACAAACTCCTAGATTACAAAGTCACTAGTTTTTCTTCTCTCCTTATCCCCCATAACAAGTTTAACTATACCGTAAGATTAATCTTCAGAGTTTGGTTCAGCTTCAAGGCAGGGATGTAATTGGCACGCTGCAAATGGTGAACTAAAAGTAACTCATGATTCTGAACACTGGTGCTGGACTGCAAAAACCTCACCAAACACTCCTAGGAAGAATAGAACACATTTGTAAGCTACTCACACATCCTGAATTCCTGACGCGTTTTTATTGGTAATTCATTACCTGCTCAGTGTCTGTAAATGGTAGCTTCAGTAAGTCCTCCATTAAGCCCATTTCCTGACAGCCTTTATATGTGTGCTCTAGTAACTCCTCTATATTCGATCTACTAGAATGGTATCGCAGTAAACTCCAGGCCTCAATCATGCACCTGCAATCAGTATTTATCAAAGTTTCGTTTTAGAAAAGCTATTTAAAGTGTTCAAAACAAGTAATTCACCTAAAGATTCTCAAAGATACTCTACATGTATTTGAAGAGAACTTAATTTTACTGAATACTAATCACTGCATTAAAAAGTTGGCTAATATCAACAGGCATTTTTAAAGACTCAATTTTATGCTGTTCTATATCATTATATAAGTGTAAAATAATAGGAAAGCAAAATAAGTACACAGAAGGTCAAGAGGATAAAAAACTAATGTGATCTAAACAGAACTGAAAAATTAGCATGATGTGACAGAGAAGAGCCAGGCTCTTAAGGAACTGACTGCTTGCATGAGAAAGAAGAGTAGAAAAGAAAATAAGCAAAGATGGAAACAAGATGGTGTTAATGGGGAGCTGAAGGGTTTAGCATAGTAACAGAAGATTTGGGCTGATCTGCAGCAAGATCTGACTAGAGGACTTGGACCAAATCAGACATTTTAGACAGCGTGAGGGACAATGAGCTGTGGGCAATAGGTCATTAAATGAAGCAGTGTTTCTCATTATACACTGTGAAGAAAAGAAAAAAAAAGCTTAAAACAGTGTAGTGATTACAATGTTAAATTAACCAATAAATAAAGCCAATAAATGTTTATATGTTTATTAAATAATAACATGTCTTGAAAGATATACACCAAAACTGAGAATGATTAATCTGGCATGTAGAATTTTTGAGGGGCTGATAACTTTCAAGACAAAAGAGGGATAGAATAAAAAATGGCAGATAGACAGGAACATCAAGGAAATGATCATCTTAAAAACCCATAACATCATTTCAAATTCTAAGTCAATAGGTAATTTTTACTGTAGCGGGTTAATAAAAAAGATTTAGCTATAGTTTTTATTGAAATAATAACAAATACTGAAATAAAGACTAGTAAATAAATGACATATATAAGAAATATAGAGTATGTGAACCAAGTTAAGGCAATTAATGTTCATAATGAAATAAATCTGAGGAAATTTTGAGTGGTCCTTTGTTTTTATTTCTGAACTTTACTGTATAGGACACAATGTTGCTAGATTTTTGGATACTGGATACTGGAAGCTTTATTATACTTAAGAGAAATAAGTTTTAAAATTACATAATGTTTGCTATGGCTAAAGAAGAGAAAATGAAGATCTTAGCAACTCAGAAAAACATGCTATGACTGAATTCAAAGGACAATGGAATAAAAAAGAAAAACCAGCAGACTTTCAAAGGTGTTTTCTAACTTTCCAACATCTGCACTTTGATGTAAGCATTAGTGATCAATTACCACCTCTTTAAAGTCACTAAAATCAATGAGAAGCTTACATGCAACTGAGAAAAATTTACATGCTGCTTGCCAACCCAGTGTTAGAATCCTTTACCCATTTATTTTTAAATACATACATATATATATTATTGATTTTTAGAGAGAGGGAAAGGGAGAGATAGAAACATCGGTGAGAAACATCATCTATCGACTGCCTCCAGCACGTCCCCTGCTGGGGAATCAAGCCTGCAGCCCCAGTATGTGCTCTGACCAGGAATCAAACCAGTGACCTCTTGGTTCATGGGTGGAGGCTCAACAACTGAGCAATACCAGCCAGACTACCCATTATTAAATATTTGTCAATTTTAGCTTCTTATATTTGCTCTAGACAATTTCTTAGCTAGCCAAACAACTTTAAAAAAAATGATTTTTAGAGAGAGAAACATTGTTTCTTTTTTTTTCTTGCGCAGGGGCCATACGAATCTTCTCTGTACCGTTCCAATTTTAGTATATTTGCTGCCAAAGCGAGTACTCACTGTTTGTTTCTTGTATGTGCCCTGACTGGGACTGAACCCACAACCTTCGCATATGGGTACGACACCAACTGAGCGATCCAGCCTGGGCCTAGTCCAGTGATGGCGAACCTATGACACGCGTGTTAGAGGTGACGTGCGAACTCATTTTTTTGGTTGATTTTTCTTTGTTAAATGGCATTTAAATATATAAAATAAATATCAAAAATATAAGTCTTTGTTTTACTATGGTTGCAAATATCAAAAAATTTCTATATGTGACACGGCACCAGAGTTAAGTTAGGGTTTTTCAAAACGCTGACACGCCGAGCTCAAAAGGTTCGCCATCACTGGCCTAGTCAAACACTTTTGCTCACCTAAATTATTTCCACAAATACTTCCTAATTCATTATTTTGAGGACACTATAAATTTCTACATGTCTAGCTAATCTATTATTAAACTACAAAAGATTTCTTCTGATTCAGCCTTCACCACTCAGAAATACATTCTGTTGAACCAAATGGAACAAAGAAAACTTAACTTTCGGAGTGGTGACACTAACATGCTATTTGGTTCACAAATGATGCTTGGGGGTGAGTAAAATGACCAATTTATAAAAACATAAAAATGACTAAACACCCAGCTGGAGTGGTTCAGTGTTTGAGCATCATGCTGTGCACTGAAAGGTTGATGGTTTGATTCCATCAGGGCACATACCTGGGCTGCAGTTGGGGCACATATGAAAGGCAACCAGTTGATGTTTCTCTCTCACATCAAAGTTTCTCTCTCTCTCTTTCTAAGCATGTCCTTGGGGAAAAATTTTTAAAAAGAAGAAGAAAAAAGATCAACCGAAAAGACAGAAACAATACGAGTTGTATAAAATAAAGTTACAATTTGGTAAGAAATTTCAGTTCCAAGCAATTTCCCCAACTAATTTAGTTAATAAGAAAACCCAATAACCAGACCATCATATTTCCAACCATGTCATTTAACTTGTCACCATTAATATATACAGTAAATGTATCATGCTGATATATTAAACACGAGAGAACATTAAACACTGCCAAGGGAAGAAAAAAAGAATATAAAGATATCACCTGCTCAAATCTTATTCAAGTATCAAGATGTGAAACCTGAAACTTTCTTAAAAAGAGAACATTAAACACTGCCAAGGGAAGAAAAAAAAGAATATAAAGATATCACCTGCTCAAATCTTGTTCAAGTATCAAGATGTGAAACCTGAAACTTTCTTAAATTATTTAAACAGATGCTTCAAGACTTCCTTTCTATAACAATGCAATGGCAAATATCAAAAGCAAAGCACTGCAATACCCAACAACCAATATTACCGAAATACTGGCATACCATCATTGGGATATATCTCAAAGAATAGAATTATCACCCTGGCCGGGTAGCTCAGTTAACCAGAGCAACGTCCCCATATGCCAAGGTTGTGGGTGCCATCCCCTGTCAGGGCACATACAGGAATCAACCAATGTATGCATAAATGGAACAACAAAGCGATGCTTCTCTCTCCCCCTTCCTCTCACTCAAAGCATAAATAAATAAATAAACAAACAAACAAACCAACCAACCAACCAACCAACAAACAAGCAATAACCAACTCAAGATGATTTTATTCTTCCTCGATACTTCTGGCTCCTTTTCAGTATACTCAGACATTAACTATCCATGCAGGAGACTACCAATATTATCAATTAGCAACAGATATAATTTTAAACCTCAGTTTGGTTTCCTCTTTTACTCAAGGTACTTCTTATTTATGTTATTCTAGATAAAAGATGTTTTACATTTTTCTTAAGGTTGAAAGATGAAGAATTGTAAGAATACTATGTAATACAATAAAAGCGAAATATATATCGCTACTACATATTTCATCAATACCATTATATTAACAGTTAAGATCAAAAGTTTGATTATCTTTTCAAAGTATGTACTTACCTGTTAAAAAGCAAAACAGTGATGTGAAGGATAATATCACTATCACTGGACACGGTTGGCTTCATTGTCTGAATATATCTGAGGGCTTGTCTGTGCTCGCCCTGGCTCATAAAGGCTTGGATAATCTTTGAATGCTGCCATGAGAAAGGTTTTGCAGTAGCTGGATGAAACAGAAGATCCAAACCATTCTGCAAAAATGACATGAAAACTGGTAAACACAAATACATGCTTTGCATTCATATGAAGTAGCACACCTTTAAATGGACAGGCAATACTAAAGCCACAAAAATCCAGATAAAACCAGTGTGAATGTCAACCTACGGTATACTTTATTTTCAATAAAAGCCTTATCAAAAACCTCATGCTTTTGAGACATCATTATACAATTATAAATTATACAAAATCTTTCCATCACCAACCTCACATATCAATGCTAAATCCTGCCTTCTGTGGGCACAAATAAGAATCAACCAATGAATGCAACCAGTGAAAATAACTTGATGTTTCCCTCTCGCGTGTTCTCTCTTTCTTCCTCTCTCTCTCAAATCAATTTTTTAAAAAGAGCAATTAGTACCAGTGCTCTCAAGATATAGAAAAACACAAAACACTAAACAGATTTCTAACATAACAATCACCATATCTGCACTATTAGTCATTGTTACCTATTTGTTTCCTTCTTTAAGCAGTGAGACACCTGAAGTTTTATCTTTGTATTCTTACTGCCTAAGGTAGTGAAGGCATTATTTGAACTGACTCCTTACATTACCTCTAGAAATAGATTCAATCATATCTTTAATATAAATTTTAATCATTATTTTAATAGTTTACAAAAGCTTTAATTCTAAGTGAACTAACAGACTCACCTCATAGTCATTATGATCGATCAGCCAAAATCCTTGAATAAGTTTAACCTGGTCCCAAGAAATGGCAAAGGCAGTTGGAAATGATTCAATTGAAGTATCTGTTTTGTTTGGGAATGAATACATAATATCAAGTAGCAAATAAATGGTCTTTTAAAAAGTGGGTTAAGGACAATAAACAAAAACTTCTACCTATATATTTATAACAGGTAGCAACAGAATATAGCAGGAATGATTCTTGAAAGACTTTAGTTTTTAGAAAACCATTATGAATGCCCAGCTAGGGGAAGTAGTTTTATTAGATGTGGGTATAGGCAATCCCACACCAGCTTCCTTCATTCTTCATAGGAAGCACCACCACAAAAGAGAAGAACTGAAGCGTACTTGCTTCATGAAGTCAGTAGCTTAGCAAATTTAAGAAACAAAGCTATAGACAAATTCCAGTTAGCCAGCAAAACTTGGCAGCTTAAGCAAATGCATCAAGTGTCTTATAAACTATAAATAGAATTACAGGTTTTCAGATTAATAACTGACATTAGGACAAAAACCTTACTGCAACGACCACAGGGCTCAACACAATGTCTAAGGTAATAAATATTAAACAACCTTAAATATATTCATATTCAGTACATAAGTTAACCTATTTGAAAATGACTACTTGCCAATAATGTTTTAGAACTGCTCTTAACTTGGGTAGTGTCTCAGACACATTTGAGAATCTGATAAAAGCACTGGACCCTATCCCTACAAAAATAAACATAGAACAAACGTTTGCATAATTTCAGGTTAACCACAAACCACCTAAACCCAACCCACAGATCCGGGGTTAAGAAACCTTCCTTTTAGGAACGCCTCAGTAAGGGCGGAAGTAGAGGCCTCCGCAGAAGTGGCAGCAGTGAGGGTGGAAGCAGCGTGACCCGCGTGGGATCTGGGGTTCTGCCCGCACTGGGCCGCCCCCGCTGGCCGCCATGGAACTCAGCGCCGAGCACCTGCGGGAGAAGCTGCGACGGGACCTGCAGGCAGAGCACGTGGAGGTGGAGGACAGGACTCCCAACCGAGTCCTGGTGGTGTCGGCCAAGTTCGAGGAGAAGCCGCTGCTCCAGAGACACCGGCTGGTGAACGCGTGTCTAGCAGAAGAGCTCCCGCATATCCATGCCTTTGAGCAGAAAACCCTGACCCCAGAGCAGTGGGCCCGTGAGCGGCAGAAATAAGAGACCAGCACCTGCACAGCCATTAAATTATGAATCAGGGCCAGCTTCTGTGTTGCTGTGTATTAAAAAAAAAATGTGAAATTGAGACTGGATTAGATTGTGTATTGGTTCCTACTATTCTGAAATTTTGTGATTTAGGTAATACATGAATTATTTAATAAAAATTTTAAAGGATACAATAAAATGTTTGCTTGTTTCAGTAACGTTGTCTAGTAGGTATATGTCAAGTAGTGCCTATAAAAGAGATAAAAAAATTCAGTCCATTTTATATACCCACTAGAGGCCCAATGCACAAAATTCGTGCAAGAGTAGGCCTTCCTTCCCCTGGCTGCCAGCACGGGCTTCCCTCTGGCACCTGAGACCTGGGCTTCCCTCGCCGGGAAGGCGTAAAGTCTAATTAGCGTATTACGCTTTTATTATTATAGATTTATTCACACTCCTTGTTTTTCCCCAAGACTGTGCCAGGTGTGACAACTCAGTTAAGCATACCTCCCTCCCCACAACTTTGTGAACTCTTCAGTGATACCATGTTATTGCAAACCTACATGCAGACTAGGAGGAGGATATTTTCCTGTGCCTCCTTCATCTCGTTTCCACAACTTCTCAACTCGATCTCCTAACTGAGAAACCATTCCATCGATCATCAAATAGTCAGAGTTCCATTTCCCACTGCAATAAGGGCAACATTAAAGATTATTTAACATTAGTGGTGATTATTATTATCAAGACAATAGCATTAAATTCTTAAAAGCAATGATCCCAATTATCAAAGGGAGAAGAGTTGGGAAGCAGGAAGGGGGGAGAAGAAATAAGGGGGAAAAAACAAAGTCGTCCAAGTGCTGAAATGCAACTGTTAAGGGAAAGAATGTAACATAACTAACTGGTGACATATTTTAAGCTTTTTTGACGAATAGCAGCTTCCAGTTTTTTGTTTTTTTTTCTGAATAAGAATTCTCAGAAAAAGCACGTTTAAAATTATGGAATCTCCTCTAATTATGAATAGTGGTAAATAGCTTTCTTTAGGAAATAACTAATAGCTATACTCAAGTTCTAAAGTAAAAGTGTGACCATCAGGCTAAGGCAAACATTACAAATAAAACAGTAATGTTGGTAACAAATTCTGAGAATCCACCCATTTAATCATTTTATAACCGGATGAATGCTGTTCTACCTCAGAAGGCGTTCTGACTTCCTACAGGAGAAATGTCTAACATGTTGCTGGAAGGTTCTGGATGTACTATACCTTGATAAAAGCTCACACTTCTGCCGACGACTGGTGTAGTAGCTCTGAATTACAGGGTAGTTGTAGCATAACCTTGACAACTGCACAGCATCATCTAGATTGTTTTTTTAAGAGTTGGAAAAAAAGCTAGTAATATTTCCAAAATATCCCAACAATACTTAGGTTACTCACATTGATATTTTACTATAATTTTATATTATTGTTAATTTGTAGACTTCCTAAACTTCAATAATATACCCACCCCTTTAGTAATAGATGCACAAATGAGAAAACCAAGTCTCTCATAAACACCTGTAACAATAAGGATGCTAAGAGAATTATGAAAGAACAGATCAACAGCAATTATGGACAGTGAGAGAAGCAAGCTTAAATAAAATCTAATGCGAGCCCTAACCGGTTTGGCTCAGTGGATAGAGCGTCGGCCTGCGGACTGAAAGGTCCCAGGTTCGATTCCAGTCAAGGGCATGTACCTTGATAGCGGGCACATCCCCAGTAGGAGGTGTGTAGGAGGCAGCTGATTGATGTTTCTCTCTCATCAATGTTTCTAACTCTCTATCCCTCTCCCTTCCTCTCTGTAAAAAATCAATAAAATATATTTAAAAAAAATAAAAATAAAAAAAATCTAATGCGAATCCTGGAAATGCAAGAAGTTAATAAGCTTTGGAAGTGTATTTTAAACAAATACAGCAAAAGTCAAATTCTCTAATTCTTGATATTGGCATCAATCATTAGATAAAACAGGGGCGGGGAATGTCCGGCCTGCAGGCTATATAAGACCTGCGAAATTATTAGGTCTGGCCCTGCCAGGGTATTAGGGGTGAGTTAATTAAATGTTTGACCAAATATATCAGGTTAATTTTTAAGTTGATAATTTTGTATGGCCCATGAATGATATTATAAATATCCACATGGCCCTTGGCAGAAAAAAGGTTCCCCACCCCTGAGATAAAAAGAGGTATTTAAATGATGGTAAATATTTGTTAATAACCATATTAAAAGAACTCTTAAAATAAAAAGATTGACAAATTAGATTATAAGATGCGTAAGTTCTATGGACCTAAATTATAGCTGGTGATATTGAATCAACTTTCAGAAGCCATAATATTCTTTCAAATATTCTTTCCTTCAAAATGTTCTTTAACCCAATAAACATGTACGGAAAACCTGTGTATCAGGCATGGGGTGAGGTACTGAAGATAAACAGAAAGAATGTAAGAAAAGAAAGAATAAAAGGAACATAAGTGAGGTGGTAGAAGAAAGAAAACCCAAAACATTAGAACACAACCACAAAATTATCAAGATTTAAGAATGTTTCAATTAATATTTATAGATAAGTAAATATTTTACCTAAGCCCTCTGGTAAAAGCCCAGAGTGAGAGAACCAGAGGACCATTTGTGCGTACTGACAGATGAGCTGGGAAACCGCACATTTATTGGTCAAGTTCATACGGCCTGTAAAGAAGAGTTAAATATCAGTTGTTTAAACTTCAACCACAAATGAAAAATCAAGACACCAATTCAAAAACTAATTAATTCTTTGGTTATTTTTAACAGTAAGTTAAAACTTAGGTTGAACAAATAACTCACTAAAGTAGACGTTTTAGGTATGTTTCTATCTCAGCTACACTTCCATTTACCTAATTTCAGAAGTCAAGTTTATACACTGCTACAAACTATAGAGTATCATTAATACACCATAGGTTGTTCATATCAGACCTTTAAATAAACTGACTGTTTTGTTTAAATGGCAAAACAGCAGAAAACATTACAATGACCTCTGTGAATAAAAACTTATGTATAATTTAAAAATTTGAAATTCTACTATAAATATACAACCTTAAAAGCCATTAGGTTTAAATCCAGAATTTGCCACTTATTTAAGCATGGGCTCATGATACACCTAATAGCATTATGTAGCTTTTCATAAAACACACACACACACACACACACACAGAAAAACAAAACAGCATTTGAGAAATAATGGCCTTTTTGCACAATGATCCATCTAAGACAGAAAATTCATTCTTTTAAGAAGTCAATAAGTAAAATTTAACAAAACGCTCATTTGTATAAGATAAACAGCACACCTCTTTCCGTGATCTCTTGTGCCTCTGTTGCAAAACAGCTTAAGACTGTATTAAGATTGCTAAGCAGCAAATGGCATTGCTGAATAGATTGTATAGTCTGTGGATCAATGAAACGACACGAACCATCAAATAATGGTGTACCTTTCAAAGATAAAATATACAATCAGTTTCAACACAATAAATCTCAAATAATTAAACTCACAACTGAGAACTTTCTCTAATTCCTACTGACCACAGAATTATTCTATACTTTATGAGATTTATAAAGACGAGCTTGAAATGGCAAACACCCTCAAGGAACCTAGAAGGGATAGACACAACAACTTTTTTTAAATGTAGAATGAGGTAAGCAGAATGTAGAAAAGGTGATACAGATTCAATTTCAGATTCACTAAAAATCAGTATATTCATTATTCTCCTTCAAATAAATATTTTATGTCAGAAATGTTGTGTACCATATTGTTCTGCAATTAATAAGAACTTTCTTCCACCTCCAGTCTTTAAAAAGTTAGACATTAAGATTCAGATAAAGACTTACTACAAAACTGCAGGCATGTCATAATTCATTGTAGACTCAGTTGTCCTTTCATTTTGAATTAAAGGTTGAATTTACAAGTCCTTTGGGGGGGAGTGTTTTAGTTGCTACTGGTTACATCTTTTGATAAGATTTAATTGCATTAACATCTATATAATTGTATTTTACTATATAATGTGTAATATTTGATATATCATTTAAAACAAATATCTGAATTCTAAAACCTTCCTTCCTCAAATAAAATTATTTGCTTTACACCCTGGCCGGATGTAAAACTAACTTTTTAGCTCAATTGTTGTTTGGTAAAGCATCGTTGCAATATGCCAAAGTTTTGGTTTTGATCCCCAGTCCAAGCATATAAAAGAATCAACCAATGACTGCATAAATAAGTGGAATAACAAATCAATCTCTCTCCCTCCCAGCTCTAAAAATCAGTTAAAAAAAAAAACTTGAAAAAATAAATTTGCTTTACCTCTAATACATTTAGTATACTTATTTTTTAATTATTATTTTATCTAAAAAATAAATCTTCATTAACCATTAATGAAGCTCAAGGTAGTAACAATGGCTGAGTTATTACCAAGTTCAACCCTGAAACACCACATGATGCTAAAAGAATAGACATAGAATTTTATAAATTGAGTTGAATTTTTTTCTTTTTTTACATAACTTACATTATCAATCCTGAAAACTTTTTCTCCTGAAAAGAGTATATTTTTACCCTTATTCTGAATTATCAGATTACTGAAATATTTAAAAATTTTTAATCCATGTTTATAGTTTTATGAGTATGCCCTAAAATACAATAGAACCCCATGTCTTCTTGCACAACTTTGATTTAAAAATTCTATTAAGAATAAATTTGGTGCTGAAACCGGTTTGGCTCAGTGGATAGAGCGTCGGCCTGCGGACTGAAAGGTCCCAGGTTCGATTCCGGTCAAGGGCATGTACCTTGGTTGCGGGCACATCCCCAGGAGGAGATGTGCAGGAGGCAGCTGATCGATGTTTCTCTCTCATCGATGTTTCTAACTCTCTATATCTCTCCCTTCCTCTCTTTAAAAAAATCAATAAAATATATATATATAAAAAAAAAAGAATAAATTTGGAAAATCCATTTGTTCACTCATCATAATAGAAATAAAAACATATACTTCTAAATAAACTTTAATTTTACTTTCACGTACAGAGCAATCATTTCTGCACTAATTGGGCATAATGGGTTTTTAATATTCACAGGATACCTCAAAACTCAAAGTGCACAACTGTCAAGAAGGAAAATGATCTGGAATGCCTGATAATGACAACTGTTAGAAAACAGATGATGAGCTTTTACCCTATTTAGTTTCTTTATGCTCATAAATACTTTAAACAGAAAATGAATAAGTAGAGCAGTTTCTGAGGTTAGCTCGCATATTCTCCTTAATCATAAGCAATTTTGTAAATTAAACTCTGAAGATCAAAAGATGCATAAAAAGTAATTCTTAAACTTGCCAATATGGACATAATATGTTGCCAGTTTAACAATCTGTTGCAAAATCTTCGTCGAAAAATAATTTTGTCACTCTAAACTAAAAACAAAGTTTTCTTCTGGGCCTTAAGAATTTATAATGTCAAGATGATTAAAATTATTGTTATGTACTTAAAAAGTAAACGAATAATTTTTTAATAGGGTACTTACATAGTCTGTCAAATTCCTCTTTTGTGAGAACCACTTTATTCCATGTCCATTCAAGAACAAAGCGCAAATTAGCAGCAGAATTTGGTTGTTCTAGTTTGTAAAGATAAAAGAAAAAATAAAGAATGGTTATTAATTAGAAACAAAAAAGGACTAACTTTTTAGTGGAGAAACCTGACAGAAACCACCCTTACCAACTGAGCAAGATAGAAATCAACAATAGAGAGAAACTGGTATCATGTATCCTCAGAGCAGTACATTACTTTATGTGAAAATTGTAAAATCTGAATCCAATCATGAGGAAAGATCAATAAACCAAACTGAAAAGCAATCTACAAAATAACAGGGTTATATTCTTTAAAAATATCAATGTTTGGAAAGAGAAAGGCTTATACCAACTTTAGAGATTAAAAAGACATGAAAATTGCCCTAGCCGGGTGGCTTAGAAAGTTGGAGTGTCCTCCCGTACATCAAAAGGTTGGGGTACGATTCCTAGTCAGGCATGTACAGGAGGCAACTGATTGATGTTCTCTTTCACATCCATGTTTCTCTCTCTCCCCTACTCTCTTTAAAAAAAAAAAAAAAAAAAGTAAATTAAAAAAAAATGCCCCCAGGGGAAGATTAAAAACACACACACACACACACACACACACACACACACAAAAACAACCCCTGCAATTCTTAAATAATAAAATAAAAATAAATAGGAAGACATGAAAATCAAATACAATATGTACATATTCTGGATTTCCCCTGCCCAAGAATGCTACAAAGGACCTTATAGGGACAATTAGTGAGATTCCAATGTCTGTAGATTAGATAATGGCATGTTATCAATGTTAATTTTCATGATTTTTATAGTTGCAAAGTGGTTTTTTAATGGAGTGTCCTTGTTCTTAGAAGGAAATAATATTTAATTATTTATGGGTAAAGAAACACGATGTCTTCAACTTATTCTCAAATGTTTGTACAGAGCGAGAGTGATACACACAACTTGGATAAGTCTCCAAAGAATTTTGCTGAGTGAAAAAGAGTCAATCCCAGAAGGTTGCATACTGTGTGATTCCATTTATGAGCATTTTTTAAATGACAAAATTATAAAGAATAGGTTAGTGATTGTCAGGGGTTAGGGATGTGGCTATAAAAGGGCAACATGGGGGATCCTGATTTGATGTAGCAGAGGTTTGCCAGATTTTATCATTGGG